CCTTGGATGCCAGGGGGCTCACCTCAGGCACCCCACTCTCACCTGCATGGTGTTCCGCTCCAGTGCTCACGGACCCATGTCATTAGTCCCTGGGGAGGCTCTCTTGACTTCGGCCACCTCCAGGCGAAGGGAAGCCCCCAGCAGGCCTAGCGGTTTCAAACGTCCTCTGGGATGGAAATCGGAGAACAAAGGATTTGTGTGTGCGCGCGCACCCTCAGTGCAGCTCTGTTGCCAGGCAACAGGGAGAGGGAGCATAGCGGAGGTTGTGGGTACTGGCCTACTTTGTCCGACACAACTACCCCAACAACTCTTCCCACTTTGCTGTTGGGAGTTCTTGCGGGCTAGCTCCCCGTCTTCCTTCCACCGCCACCAATTCAACCAGCTATTTCTGTGTCTGTCTTCACGGAGAAATAGCAAAATCCTGGAGGAGACCTCAGCTCGTTAGAGGAGGAGTTCTTAGATTCGAGTCGAAGCCAGAAGTTGGATGGATTTTAGGGGATACTTAATTCCCCCACCCTCTAATTGTAAACGTAACTTGCTATATGTGCACAGTTTTTCCTCTTTTGTAATTATGGCCCACTGCTTTCATTAGAGTCTCAAATGAGACCGTAGAACTGCCGCGGGCCCCCACCCCCAACACACGCACACACGCACACACACACACACACGCACACACACACGCACACACGCACACGCGCACACACACACACACACACACACACACACACACACGTCTTGAAAATCCACTCAAGGGACAGGAACCCTGGCCTTAGGTAAAAACAAAACAAATTAGTTAGGTTCCTGGTATTTTTGTTAAAGGAAGTACATTTACTGGGAACTGCCACGATTTCATTTTCCTTAGATCTACAATCAACAAACAGGGAACAGCAATCAAGACTCCAACCCTATATTGTGCCGGGCAAACCTGTTGTACACCATCCGTTTAAAGTGTCAAAGAGCGAGGTGTCACTTTGAGTATTAAGGAGCACCTGCCCCAACCCATGGTATTTTATTAGCCTCATATTCATGTAAAAATTGGACAATGAATAATGTAGACCAATTGATGGCTTAAATTATAGTGTAGGGGGAAAATATTGAAAGTATCATGGACAGTCAGAAGAAAAAACGAATGTCCCTGGGAAGTACAGCAGAATGCCCCCAGAAGCAAAGATGGTAACACTTTATCTCACGGTCTTCAGACACGTTATCCAAGCCCCTGAAGCAGGGGTTCACACTTGGTAACGTAGAGGGCCAGGGAAAAGAGCAAGCCCCTCAAGAAGTTGGATTGACACAGAGGCTATAAAACTGGACCCAAACATAACAGTTGTGCGGACAGTGCAGAACCAGGCAGTGTTGAGCGTTTAATTCTGTCCTACATGTTGTGTGTTGGAGCTGACTCCAGGACCCCTAACAACACATCTGGAACGTGGGGAAAACATTGTGTGATGCTACCAAATAAGTTTGTTTATATACATGGTCACAGAGATGAGATAGACCAACAGGATTTCTGAAAAGTAAATTTTAAAAAGGAATTCAGTGACACCATTTTAAACTTGGCTTCAATATTGAGCCATTGCATCTGTTTTGTTTAGAGAATATGGAAAGACTATACTCCAAGTTATTCATACACAAGTAACTTTTTGTGCTTGTGCCTGAGACATTAATAGGTTAAATATTTAAAATGGACTCATGTGAGGCTATTTGACATTACAGTCTTAATTTGTTCACTTAAAAATACACCACAATTTTGATCATATTTTGATACTTCTTTTTCTCTTACATATTTTTTAGGCTAAAAAATATAAGTGAGTAGAAAGCTTAAAATCCTGAGATACCCTAGGAATGGCTGCTTAGATGAATATTCAATTGCCTTTTCTTGCACTCCCGAAGCAAAGCAAGCTAAATCGCTCTGCACAGCTCTAGCTTAGGCGGCCCCGTGCATCCGTGACTTTGCATCAGGCCTGCCTCCCTGCTCGCAAGTCTGCATCTTATCAAGGCAATTTTTTTTTAAGAAGTATTTTTTATCTTTTTCTCCACCTTCTTTCTTAAAGTTCTTCACTTGAGTTGACAAGAAGTAGTGAATATTAGGAACTTTGTTAGTAAAAAGTTTAATTCTCCAAATTTAACTTACAATGTGCACTAGCATTAGAAAGACAAGAGTTTGTTAGATACTCTCCCTGAAGAATTTTCAAGATCTAACCAGACCCTTTCAGAGAGTCACCACTCTCCTATCAGCCCACAATCTGGTTGGTGGAGAACATGAAAGAAGGGAGGGAAAGCTTGGGGACAACCTGGAGAAGCTCACTCAGTGGCCGCCTGAGGTTAATTGTGCATCTTCACTGCCTGGAGTAAAGGGTGTCCCGAGTGTATGCATGATCCTCGACTAGTGAGGGCATTTCCTTTCAGGGGATGGAGAACACGTTCAAATGCTGAAGGCAGAAGCAAACACTGTAAGTTGAACACTGAGCACAGGTGACGCATCGCAGAAGTGACGCGATGACAGTGAGTTTCTTGTTCTGCTTTTAGTTGGTAGAAAAAGGTAGCTCCCTGGTTTATTTGTAGCAATCAGAAACCCAGAAATTTTATGGTATCTAAATCAGAAATTGCTTATTAGATGATTGGATGGATTTGGGTTAACCAATTCCACCCTCCACCGACCCCCAAACAAACAAACTAGTATTGTATTGGAGTTGTCATTCACATTTTAAGATCCTTGACTATGAACATTCTGGTCATTTATAAGTGCTGGTGATTTTGTCACTTCTGAAATTCAAGGAGGAAATTCCAAAATTAGCTCAGCAAATCCCAACTTTTCTACTGAGTGCCCTTACTGAAAATAGCAAAGAACGTGTGTGTCAGTACTGGCATGATTTACAGATTTATTCCACATCATCATTGCAACACTAAGAAAAACAATCTTTTAAGGTGCTTTTTATTATTTTCAAGAAATTAAATATTTACAATCTTAACCAAATTTCACTGAGGACGTTTACAACAGGGATCCTCAGACGTGGTAAACTTGGCAAGGATTGTTTTTCTGAAGAAAACAAGATGTCCGTGGGCTTCTTTTGTTCCATGGCACTCCTTCTGTGGAACATGAGTCAGCATCCTATAAAAAAGGTTGAATTGGATTCAAGGTTCAATGATTCTATGAATGTGTGTATACAAACATTTCTATAAATATTTTGTCACCATATGTATGATAAAATTGACATCTGTGAAATCTCCCAGTTGTTCTTCAGTATGTTTATTTTTAATTCTGTATGATTTAATTTCTCTCTGATAAAACATTTATTCTGTGTGCCTGTATTATATTATGTCTTGTATTTTACAAGAATTAATATAAAACTGGTTGCCCAAAACTCATTGATGCCAATAAGGTTTTTAAATAAAATATTCAAAAGGTTGCACAATTATTTCCAATTGGTATTTCTTCCTGTATTTGCCTTTTTTTATGCTTAACTACTTTCTAAGTAAATATAAATCACTCAGGGCAGAGTAAGATCTTAGATAATTTCATGAGAAAAACAAAGAAAAACTGATTACAAATGGATTCTATATTGACAAAAATAACATGAAATCCTGAATGAGTTAGTCTATGCTATTTTTCTCAACTTCAGAGAGAGATTTTTTACTAAATTGGAGGATATAAATCCTGGATTAAATTCCATTTCCTATTGTGAGTACTGTTACAATTTAGTGTAAGGATCACAGGCCTTTGTTTCCAGTTAACTGCTTTTTGTTTGCATTTTGTAAATGTCTGTGTATATGTATAATATTATAAAAGGCAGAGTTTATATTCGATTAACTCTGTTTTGAGTTCCATGAAAAGATAAGGAAAAACATTAAAATAATAAGTTTTCTCATATCATTGATGGAGAAAAATAACTTAGCAGGCCTCTTCTGTAACAGAAGCTAATACCAAACATAATTTTAAAATGTAAGTACCTACTTAAACCTTATGAATATATTAAATCTCTCCTTTCCTTATATTTGTATCTCTTATTTCTTACCTGTCTAATTGAATTGGCCAGTGAATTATGAAGGACTATGGGACATAAATAGTGGCAACATCCTCATCTTGTTTTGACATTAAGGGAAATTCTCCATCACAGTCAAACCTACTCCTGATTTTGAGACTATCACACTACAAGGAGCCTTCAAAAAATTCATGAAAAAAATGGAATTGAAAGATACTTTAATTTACCATGGAGCCCCCTTGTACATTAATAATGTCCTCTTTTTCTACAGGATCTCCTTTTAAAACATCAGTTTTGGGGTAAAGTTTTACCAAATACAGTACATAGATTGAGATGACTATGAAATTTTTGTTTTAGGGGTGAAAATATTTCAATAGACCTGCAAATGTTAAACCCTCTCAAGATGCTGGGGCACACATTATTAAGTGAATCTTTCATATGTATGGGATCCCTGGTGGCACAGTGGTTACAAGTTAGACAGTTCAAATCCACCAGGCGCCGTGAGGAGAATGATGCTGTCTACTCTCGTAAGCAGTTTCCGTCTCAGGAACTCAGATGGTAGTTAAACTCAGCCCTACAGGGTCACCTTGAGTCATAGGAGCATTATGAGTCGGCATTGACTCCAGGGCAATACGAGGTTGTTGTTGTTTTTTTTCAAGTTCATATGCACAAATATTTGAAAATTATTCCTTTAGAATTTTCATTTCTTTTATATCTGTATCCTTTTCATGTATACTTTTTATATCCGTTCTTTTTCTTGATTGGCTACTCATTTAGCTAATTTATTTTTATAATTTTCTTCCATCTGCTTTCCTTCCTTCTCATTTTACTTGCTGACTTAAATCTTCAGTTGCTTGATTCTTACTTGGTAGTGTTTAAAGTCATAAATACACAATACAGCTTTGGCAAAATTCTGTAAATTTTCATACTCAACATTCTCATTTCCTTTATTTTCAAGATACTGTACAATTTAAGTGTTGCTATATTTTTTTAGTTAGAAAAGGTGGGGAGTTTTCTATAAGAAAACATTAAGAATTTTAATATTTATATGGTAAATGTATTTAAGAATTGGAATAAATACTAGCAATGAAATACCTAAAGAAATAGGTTTAGCATAGGATCTAGAATTTACATTATATGAAGTTAATAATATGTATGTTTAATTTGTGTTAATACGTTTTTAAATTATCAACCTTCCCATGGTTTAATTTCAAATTTTCTTGTCTAATTCAATATTAGGACAAACCAATTATATAGAGTCAGTAAAGAGTGACTGGTGTCTAGTACTGGGCTGGAAAGTGGGAGTAACAAAAGGACAGTCAGCTTTTATAAAGGGTCTTTGAGTATAGGTTATTTGGAAGACCAACACATTCAGTCTGTAAATTCGGGCCCACTCTATTAGAAACAGATAACTACCGTGAGAATGAAATCCCTGTCAATACTCCTTGTACGATAAAGGATGAGAAAGTCAATGCCTACAAAACAAATGATGATGGTTAGTGTTGCAGCAGTGTGGGCATGTGAGAAAGATGTGACATGGACAAAGCAGAAATGACCTGAAGCTACTGGTATTTTCCCCAACAGAAAGTGCCCACGGTCATTCTATTTGCATTTACATAGAAAATCAACATACATATGTGATCAAATAATAGCAATATACTCATCACATGTTAATTTGTGTATATTTGAAAATTACAGGAATTCTCAACTTGATTTGAAAAGCCAAACACGTACCTTCTTAACTGAAACCTCCTGACCTTCCATTGCGTGGCTAGAAAAGAAATAAATTGGAAATAAATCACTTTACCTAGAGAACAATGCCCGTTTTCAATGAGGTAGATCCGTGTTTCTTTTAACTTTTATGCTTATCAGTATCATCTGAAAAATGATTTGATGGTTTGTTTTTAATTTAATTTAAATACTACCAAGTATAATTCAGCAGTATATTTAAAGAATAGGGACTTCTCATGGCTTGCTGGGCTTCCCAGCAGGCATTTCTGACTTAGTAAGTCTGGGATGGGCCTGTAATTCGCATTTTAAGTCATTTCTGAGGTGACACTGAGGACCAGTGTGGCAGTTCGCTTTCATTTTCTTTTCAGGTTTATTGACATATATTTACTTACCATACAATTTAACCATTCAGTCCTAGGAAGAAGAGTTATGCAATCAGCACTACAATTTCAGAACGTCTTCTTGCACTCATTGTTGTCAGCTCCTCATTGACCCCCAACTCCTGCCATGACCCTGGTAATGCTTAATCCAGCTACTGCCTCTATGGATCCACCCGTCCTAGATTTCATGTACAGAAAACCATACGAACACCCAAACAAGAAGCAAGCAAAACCAATAATGGCTAGACATAGAAAACATAGAAAAACCTCAACAGAAAAGAAAGCAGAATATATTAAAAAACCAGAATAATTTTTAAATGGGTCAAAAGGGAGCTCAATTGATAAGGTGTTAAATTGTAACCTACATCTGCCATATCAGTTCTGCAATGCTCTCTGTGTGATGACAAGGCTATTCACATACTTAGACGAGAGAGGGGTTCACTGGAGGCTTCATCCACATGGGGACTCTGCGCTGGATTTTAGGCTACTCTGCCATCCACACCCTTCTGCAAGTTGGATGTTTGCAATTTAAGCTCTGAAACCATTCCTTCCAGATTTTAATTTTATCATTTATAATCCGTTCATCATACAGGCTGGTATGCTTCTTTCATGTGGACTAAGTTGATGCCTCACTTAGATGGTTGTTCGTTTGATGACAAGTGTGGTAGTTACATAATCTGAAGGGGTGGGGTTTAGCCTGTCAATCAGGTCGCAGGGTGATGACCTCATTTGGAGGCGCTAAGGAGATAAATTCTCACTGGAGGTGGAACACACACATTCTCCCTGTGAGACATTCCTGTTGAGAAGACACATGGAGCTATGCTAGGGCACTGGAGCTGAAGGAGCCACGTGGCTGAGATGTTTCCTCTGTCACTGGATCCACATGACTTTCCACCCAGTGGCCTGTGATCTTCCTGAATTAGGCATCATGGCATGTGTTGCGTGAGTCTGAAGGGGAATTTGCAGATTGGTATCAGATATATGGGCTAAAATCAGACATATATTCTTGAACTGGACTGGGCTGAGATGTTTTCTCAATATTCAATTGCTCTTGTATATAAAACTCTCTCTTATACACATAAGAGTGCCTATGAATTTTTTGGTCTAGTCTACCCAGACTAACACACCAAACCTTTAAGACACCAGATGCTTGTCTTTCTGGTAGCTGGATACCATCTGCTTTCTTCACCACACTTTATGATAGTACCCCTATCTGCAGTGATTTTTTTTTCCCCCATGAGGGTGAATATCAAGTAGGGGTATATTATAAGAAGGAATTGTTATATTGGGGCTAGAATTAAGTCCCCATCCATTTATATATCTCTGGTTTATATATGTCTCTGGTTAATTGGAAGTTAGATTTTAGGTCAATGTGCACCTGTGTGAAAGTGTAGGGGTGGAGTCCAATCTATCAATCAGGCCATGTCCTGATGATTCTTCCTTGGGGTGTGGCCTTTTTATAAGAGACAGTGAGAACTTCCCTCTCTCTTGTCCTTTGCCTTCCTCTTCGCTGGGACTCTGTCTGCCTCCATGACAGCCCTATGTGGGCTGTCAGCCTGGAGAGTTGAGGGCGCCCTGTCATGTTTCCACAGACCTTGGATCCATGCACCCCTGTACCCACTTTCCTGTGGTGTCCCTGCTTCCCATGTCATTATCCTGTAACGACATGAATCTTGACCTTGCCTAGCATCAGACTCATGCACTTGAGTTGAATTGGACTGGGATGACTTGATGATATCAAAATTACTTCTTAATATAAACCTCTCTTTTTTACATATGAGTGTCAGTGATTTTGCTTCTCTAGAAAACCCACATGAATACAGCCAGATTAGTTAGATATTATTTGATTTTTGCTTATCTTGTTCATGTCCTTGAAGGTACTAACATTTTAAATAAATTTTTAACAATTTTAATTTAATGTGAGCCAAAATTAACTTACTGAAGTCGTAATTGTTTTGTGTTACTATTAATATGGCTTCAATGGATTGATTCTTCAATACATTGGCTAATTTTGCTGGTAGAATGATTTCTCAAAATGCAGATCTTAGTTTCAAGCTCTCCTTCGATTTTACACTAAAACTAACTTGGCTGAGTTAATGATTTCATTGAACAATTCCTGTGAATTCGTCAGGAGTTCTGGTGTGTGTGGGCTACAAGTTAGATTTTCCAAAGTTGTAAATCTTTATGGAGCAGAAAGTCTCATTTTTCTTCCCCATTGAGTGACTGGTGGGTTCAAACTGCTGACCCACTCCATCAAGGACACTGTGCTTGGTAAAGCGAAGGGTTGGCAACAAAGAGGAGACCTTCAATGAGATGGCCCAGTGGCTACACCCATGGGCTCAAACATCCCGGCAATTGTGAGGCTGGGACGGGAGCAGCAGACTGGTCCTGGTCTGTATAGGGTTGCTATGAGTAGGAAAGAGGGTTGCTATGAGTAGGAAAGAGGGTTGCTATGAGTAGGAAAGGCTCAATGGCCCCAAAAGAACATATCAGGTTGACTCCCCAGCCTGGGGTAAGTACCTTTGTTTTGGAACGATCAGTCCCTGTATTGAAGGTGCATCTAACCTTGGTCTGTATCTGGTTTCTTATTTATATCCTCCATTTTGCTAAAAACTTCTAGGATTTACATGTGGAATCTTATCCATTATATTCACAACCCTTGGGACACTGATCAGAACCCAGTAGAGGTTCAGTAAACAATGCTGCCTTCATACAGGAAAACTCTGGCAATGTATTAAGGAGGCCAATATTTCAGAGAGTTTAGCAGCTTCTGAAGAAATTAGTATTTCATATACAATTTTGACACACAAAATATGAAATACAATTACAAAATGTTGTCCACTGATAGCCTCTACTTCAGTTGATTATTTTAATTTTAAGAATTTGTAAAAAGTAGTCATAACTGTTCCAATCTAAATAAGCTTTATCTCCACTTCAAAATTCTTAAACGATTGGCACTTAAAGGTAATATTACTTTAAGACACTCATTTCCTTTACATAAATTGTCATGGTCATGAACTTGGAAGCAGTTTTTATAAACATGTGTAATGGATCAAAGAAGAGACTAGAGATGTAGTGGTATTGAACAAGTGGTATTGAACAAAGGTAGTGACCAAAATGAATTTCAGATCATAACATTTGACACTAAATGCATACAAATAAACTCTAAAGCTTAATAGAAACTTATGCGATAATGTAAATAAATTTGATGCTGTGAATTTTGAAAAAATAAAACAGGGTGCATACCCTGAATAGAAAGTATCCTCGACTTCGAATTGCAACAGGGCCTGGGAATTCTTCCTGAAAGAGAAAAGCAGGGCATTATGAGACAAGTGATACAAAGTGCAAGTCTCCTTGCAGGTGGAGTGAATATCCACATAGTTTGTAACTATAATAATTAAACAGAGGTAATCAAGGACTGTGGTATATAATTTAAATCACTACCGAATTTCTATCTACACTCAAAGACTTGTCAACAGCCAGCTGTAGCAGTAGATTGTATTTAAAAATAATATCCATATTAATACAGCATAATTTGTCCATGTCACCACCGAACAGAAGTTAAAATGACATACACTTCATAGAGAATCAACTATGTTTAAAATCACCTTTCAGCATTTTAATACAATTACATAGTTTCTTTCAAACACACGTTGCATGTATGTACGTAACACGGACAGGGAAATAGTAGAAATTCTATTGTGTAAGAAACATTACACAATATTCTTTTCTATAAGAATGTACATTGAAACTGAAGGGCAATGCTAGTAAACTATGCTTATTCAAAAGATATTCTGGAAGATATCTAGAAAATACTTCAGAAGATATTTTCCCAACATAATTGTACTTCCAAAATGGTTATTAAAAAATACTAAGTAGGAACTAATTAGTTATCCACAATGGTTATATTTTGGAGTTTCCTTTCTTACAACATTTCCTTTTAAACTTAGCAAACCATATTTAACACGATACACTTTCCATAAAATTGGCTCATGTCACTTCCCATTATTAGTAACCACTACTTATTTTAAAAGTATCATTAAGGTGCCCATCACCATGAAATGCTGTCAGTCAAGGCTTGCTGCAATTCATTTAAGTACAACTATTTCTCCAAATCCTAAGTAATGTTCTGAGGTCTACTGAAAATACTGAAAGCTTTGCTTTACAATACAAATATCTTAAATTCTACATATTTGTTCATAATTCTATCTGTACTATAGTTCCCCCCATTTTTTTAGAGATTAAAAAACTGTTATGCAGAAATATACTCATAGAAACGATGAGTTTATGAATGCCTTTATCAGACATGATCATATAGAAGAGAGTAAAAGAACAAAGGACAAACTGTAACTTTCAATTTTGAAATTTTCAAATACAAAATCCTACTTTAAAGTCATTCAGGTCCTGGCATTGGAAATAGACACTATGGAAAGGAATTTAGGAAATGAATGTAAAAGAGATATTGGGGCTGGGAGAGGAGGATTCCTAACAATCAAAATTCAAATACTCAAAGGCACTAAGGCAAAAAACTTACTTTTTTCAAAACCTCTGAATATTTTACTATGAAAAAACCATATCTTAACATGACTTTGAGCTAGCAAAGCTAACACTCTACTGAAATATATTTTTTCCCTATTCATGTTTTACCTAATTTCCTTCTTTAGGTTTAACTTAAATTGCTGCAAAATATTTTTAAAATTGATCACTTCCCCAATACGATCTCCTTTTAGCTCAGAGTTCATGTTCTCAGTCACTTGCCTGGAAATACACGTGATTTCACTGAAGGAAGGAAATTAAAGATCCAGTCCGACCACAAAACAGAATGTTTTGTTTTGTGTAAGTAAGGACACTGATGCTTCAAACTGATATTTTGTTGGTATATTTAAAAAAAACTGGACTTTTAAACTGAATTTTTATGCTTTCCATAACCAGAGAAGCATGTCACAAATTAAGTGTTGAACCATCCAAAATAGCACCCAAAAGTCTGATGGCTGAATTTCTAAAAACTGAAAATT